ATAACATAATTGTATATTATTTTGTTTCAGACACCATTTTAATATTATGCTTAGGATTTATTCAAGTGGATAAATATAATAAATGAATCGTACTTAAATAGTACTACTTGTTTTAAACGTTTAAACGTCAAGGGGCAAAGTTTACCTCTTGCTGTCTACTTTAGCTCCGTGTTGGAACCTACTAGTTAGGCACGTTCTTAGGTTAACAAATTCTCTACTCCGGACACCGAATAAGAGTATAGGTAGGTACCTACTATACATACCTAAGACAAGTGATTATTTACCGCGTTCACGCCTCTCGTCTCTGCGCCCGTCAAAATATATTTTTTAAAAAATAATACAATTCCCGTCGATTATTATAATATAGGAAAATATTATGTATATTGTACGATGGGATATAATAATATGAAATAGTAGTTTTCCACATAAATCACGAGGGGCTGCGAGGTGACGGGGCAATTCAAAATAGCAACTGGCTCTACAGTCTACAATAATAACAGTGATCGTCGAAGGCAGCATAGGTAATAATAATAATATAATATAAACTATATAATACAAACGGCGGCGGCGGCTCGCGTTACCTGTGTAATATAGTCGGATTCATTACAAACGGGACACGTATATATTATAATATCCGTCGAGTATATTTACAACCGTTGACGTCCGATTATCATATACTAAGCACCGTTGTACCTCCCCTCCTTGTCGTTGCTGCCCCTGTCTTTTCTGCATCGTCCTCTTTTATACACCGGGGCACGAGCGTCACGTCTTGAATCGATTTCCATAATAATAATATATTATTGTATTTGAAAATATCAATGAAAGCGCACACGTCGAAACTCTTAAAGTCGGCCGTTTATCATTTCGGTCGGATAGCCATCGTGCATTATTTTCATACGCCTAATACCTAACAATAACGATAATAATTCAACGATGATCGACGACCACCAAACGGCATTATAATAATAATATGTAGATTGTAGTGGTTGGTGGTTGGCGGTGCTCTATAGTGGCGTTGGCCGTGGCCGTATACAGTAGGTAACCCCGTAGGTACCTACACAATATTATCATACCTACCTAATAGGTACGTTCAAATAGTAATGATATTATTGAGACGTATTATTGGTGTGTATGGGAACCGTGTGTTGTTATAAAATCGAAATTCAACTGTCCTGTCCTGCAAATCGCAGGCGGCCGACAACGCTCGGCGGGCGGCAAAACGGACCGACGGCGATCGGATTGCTCGCAGTCAAAACCCAAAAAATCGATTATTCCATCCACAGCGGCGACGAAATTGACAAATCGCGATCGTGTAGCCTCGGACCTAAGTGACCGCAGCCCCCCCCCCCCATCCCCTTGAGTGGGGAGTACATAGTATGAAGACAATAGCTATAGGACCAGACTTTAATATGTTGACACGTAACAGAACACTAGGTAATAATAATTGTACAGTAGGAAGTTTGAAACGTTCATTTTCCAGATTTATAGAGACAAAAATTATGCCTATATTTTAATATCTATATATATATATATATATATATATATATTATCAGTACCATTTTTAATCTACATTTCAGTACTTTATGTTAGAATATTTTAAAATCAATGAAAATACTTAGCAGAAAGGAATTAGTATTATTATTATTAATTTGTTTGTATAATAATTCTTTCTTTTAATTAATACCTATTACCTACCAATCTTTTTCATCGTGTAGGTAATAATATATAGTTATATAAATATACAGGTATATATACCTATATATTTTAACGTTCGAATTTTTTCATAAAATGTTTAGATCATTGAACAAGACTACCTAGTCTAATGGCGGACAAACAATTCGAAAACTCTTTAAACGAGTCAGTGTAACTTATAATTTATATTTACAATTGAAAAAAACTATTTAAACATTATAAGTATTTAGGGCTCTTTAATACTTTATTCTCACTCAACTGTTTTTCAGCCTCCCTTACAGCGGAATAAGTGCAAGATATAGAATAGTGAATTTATAATTGCAATTTACATATTTTGAGGTATAATGAAATCGAGGAACATACACCCTAACCGTTTGTACACATCCATTTAAAACAAGTTATATGTGTATTATATAGTGGCCGAGCATCCAAAAGAGAACAAAACAGAACTTTTTTATACTATATCATTGATAATTTACAGTTATTTTTTTACATACATTTTCTTCTAGCAACAAACAAACAAGTTGATACACTTGAAATTTGCATATATATATTTTTTAAACTATCACTTTTACTTAGGTATACTTTATGTATAACTTGTACTTGATAAGTGACATGATATCCGCTATTTAATTTAAAACGCCATATTATTAGCTTAGCTTAGAAAAAAGCTAATTCTTTTTTTAGCGGACACCGGATTGCACATATTATATTGCAGTTGTCCAGTATAGCAATGCATATATATTGTGTACTCGACTAAGATTGTAAAACACAAATCATTAAATGTTGCGCTATTTATAATAGAAAAAAAATTAACCTTGTTAAGTACACCCTTATGGTACATTATAATATGATACCTATTATCGAACGTGAATTATTATCGTTTATAAGTGCACATTGTCGAGTGAATAGATATGATCTACATGGAAGGAAACGGATACAATTTTCTCGGCTATTCGTACCACACATTGCGCTATATTATAAATTAATATTAACATAGTACGTCAAAGCGCGATATTCATTCGATTTTAATCTTTTAATGAAAACTCATTCCAATAAATGATTTACGGCAAATGCAGACATAACGTGTATAGGTACACTGTGTTATGTGTTTATAGTATATAGTATATATTAGGTATACCTATATATATAGCGTTTAGCAACAGGTAACTATGTAGCGGTATAGGGTTTTAAATCTCCGTTTTTCAATCGAAATTATTATTATTATTTTTTACATCTGCGATTTGTGTTTATGTACATACACCTATATTATTTCATTCGGATATCTATTTTTTTTGTAAACAACAACAACTATTATTACTATTATAGTATTATATATTAAAGGTACCTACTGGAAGTCCTGAAACAAAATCCTGATTTTAAGGACACATTTTGAAAGTTCAATTTTTCCTGTATAAATCACTCTATAGTGATCGATGAGTTGAATTTTATTACTAATTTTTTATTCAACATCAACTGTTAGAAATAACTGAGAATTTTGTTAAAATGCTCAAGCTTTTTTTTTATACACAGACGAGCAGTCTGAAGTTTGTTTTATAAAATATATAGTCGGTTTATTATTATTATTATTATTATCTCTGAACGTGATCCCCTATGACTTCACATATGACAGCTCGTCGGATGTTGACACGATAATCGTTAGGTATGAACGCTTTAGAATTTTATGAGCCGTACCGAGATAAATAGGCGTCTAATAACAGGTGCTTAACTTTTTTTCTTTTTTTTATCAAGACACCTATAGTCTATACTATTACAGCTGTCGTGGGAGTCAACAGCTGTCAAATTGGCGCGATGTTGATTTTCTCACGTTACGAAATATATTATATTTTAGTTTATAAGTAGTTTTATTAGTCTGCTGTAAGTTACATTATTTTTATTTCAAATTATATTATTGGCATTAACCGTAGTATCGGTTCAAAAAAGAAAATTTTAAAGAAACGCAAAACTTGTCTTGGGAGAAAACCATTTAGAAATTAAAATAATAATATTGTTTTTAGCTTTTAAAGCGCGTAGGTCAAAGCAAAATAGTCACAGAAAAAAATGTCGATACCGTTAAAAAGAGGAGAATTTCAACTAGATTCTCTCGTCAGTATTGTTAGTAAACTCGATTTTAAAAATTAAATTTTACCTGAAAAATAGTAGAAAAAATATCAGAATTAAAATATAAATTGTCAACGTTGGTGTTAATAATATCAAAAAAGTCCAACGAGACTAGAGAGAAACTAGTTAAAAGTATCATTTTATAAAAAATATGTAAATTTAAGAATGAAATAGGTAATTTGGAGTGTGAAAACAACCAAGTTCTGATTTTTTTTTTAATCGGCCATCCAGCGACGACCCCCTTATAATAGTGATATTATTTACAAAAATTAAAAACACAGTAATTTAAAATCTGGATTTCAGGAATAATAATAATCGAATATTTAAAATATATATATATATATATATATATATATACCGAGTGATTGGTTAACTATGGACCAGTCAATAACTTAGAAGATATTAGATTCTTTTAAATTATTTTTTTTTATAATTTTATAGTTATTAGTTGGGACAAATTTAATATATTTTCGAAAAATATAACCCCATCTCTTATATGTTAAAACCATATGAACTTAAGAATTTTAAATGGTAACGTATATATTTTATTAACTTTAAAATAAAGAAAAATTTGCTGAACATGTTGACTGGTCGATAACCAGTTTTTGTAATTAGTTTTCTCTAAACCTGACAGTGTTGTTCGAATCCCCAAGAAGTTACTTTATCATTAGATATAATTCATATTTAAAATCTAAACTCGTTTAATATGGTTTCATAGTAATTTTAATTGTTTAATTATAGATTGTCAATGTACATAGTAGTAGTATAGTCAAAAACTATCCCACACAAGTTTAGGACTACTTAACTTTTTTTTATAAGTCTTAAAGCACCGTAGTGTAAAGTTAAAAAATGTGTACATTTTTAAAGTGTATTTTTATCAATTTTGAAAAGAGACTACAGGATGAACTTTTTAAAGTATTGGCGGAATAAAATACCTTATAGGTAGGATTTCTTATCTACGGACTTGCCAAGTGAAAAAATTGGTCGAGAAATTAAAAAGATATTTCTAGTACAGACGTAAAAATAGGAGAAAGTTAAAAACATATTATTGTAAAAGTCTTGTCCTCATCGAAGCTAAAACATAAAATTCAAATGTGACATCGGGTTAAATACATCTCTCACTTGTAGTCGCATAAATAATTAGTTTACTGTTTTTTTTAATTAAACGTTAAATTAGCAACGCATGGTACAATAATATAATTGACTTTATTATAAGAGATATAAAATATTTAATTTAATTTTTACATTATTTACAATACAAATATAGATATAGGAGGTAGTAACCCAAAATACAGCGAGGACATAAGTTGGTTTTCAGTGGCATTTTACAACACTTGATTTCATCTTATTTACATAAAGAATAAAAGATAATACAACTTTAATCGATTTATGCCTAAATTTTGATTTACAATAAGAAAAATCTAGTTAAAATATAAATTTAAATATAAAACAGAGAGCAAATATTTATTATTTTATTATATTATAACAAAATATTATAATTGGCCATTATAGCCATTCTGTTATAACAAATTAACCATTCCATAACTAATTATAGAACCAGTAGCGATGCCAACGCCAAGAAATGTTACCATTAAGGAGCTGGCGGTCTCTTGTTCGTGTTTGTCTACCAAGCTGCAAATAATAAAATTTTTTTAATTGAACAAAATTGATGTCAGCTATTTTGTAATGGATATTTTGGTTTAAGACACTTACTTAGGTATGGAACACATTGTAACACTAGATATTACTCCGTTGGTAAATCCAAAAAGTGACATGATAACCGCATATACGTGATCATTGCGTACTAAAACTTGCGTATGCTGGCGTGGATGGGCATTACACAGCAACAGCAAAGGTATAAAAACTGTTCTTACAACTGATAGCACTAGAGATGGCCATACAATATTATCTGGCTATGGAGCAATGTTTAAAGAATTAGTTTCATTAATTTTTTGTATTAATCTGAGAGCTAGCAAGTGTATTGTAATTACCAGTTTTATACACTCTGGAATGAATCGCCCTATAAAATCCCATATGCTGAATAATAGATAGGCCATCACAGGTACGAAGTATTTATCTAGAAAATAGAAATTCACAACATACTATTAAACAACTCACATAGTCAATGTGTATACTATATTGTTATTTTTAAAAAAACATCAACAACATTTTATCACTTTGTTATACAAATATTATAGCTATATTATTAGTGGTGGGATGGCATAAGTTGATAAGTCACTTTTTGTCAATTTTAATGTAATAATTATTCAGATATGTTTTAAAATAAATACCTATAGCACGAAGTGGTAAAATATTGTATGTTTGGGGACTTTCATTATTAAGTTATGGTTTCTAATATTATACTATGATACTATGTAACAAACAAAGTATTGTTATTATTCATATTTTTAACTTAATATTTTCTGTTCAATTATTATCTATTTACACGAGTTGAAATTGAGCCCATGACAGCTTGTGTATTTAATTCTATAGTTTAAATATCAGTATCTTGAGTCATAAGATGTAAAGCTTTTATTGCTTAAATTTTAGCCATATCTAGTATCTGGTTGTTTTTTCAATTACTTTCTATAACTTTGTTATTTTGTATATGAACATGGTTGCCACATTTACGGCTTAATTTTCAGCGCTCAGGTGCCGGGACACCTGCCACACACTTTCACGTTAGTTCTTAATAATTGACAAAGTTTACCTGTCCAAGCACTGTGAGTTTTCTCACTAGAAGATATTAATACTGTAACTGCTGGGTAGACTGCCATGGTGACCACATAACAGTACCAATTGCTAAAACCTAATTTCCATATCTATAACATACAAATTTAATCACATTTATATTTTTAATTATAATTTTACCAGCCTAGTTTTGTGTTTATAAATAATACAGTTTTAAATAATTGTACATCAATACCTTTTTTAAAACAACAATACTATCAGCAGTGTTTGCAGATTCAGATTCTAATGTCGCATACTGAATAGACGATGACTGCCTCATCCATGTGCTAGCAGGCAAGTCATGGACATAATATTTATAGATGTCCTACAAAATCAAATATTGGGTTTAAAAATGTACTAGCTACTGTGTAGAGGTAAATTTAAAGTAACAATTAGAAAATGTATTAAATCTGATTTTATTGGAATAAAAAATACATTTCTAATTTACTCACATAGTCTCATAGAATTAATACAATAAGGAAATAAAGTTGAATTGTGAAATGTAATAGAACGAAGAAGACACTACATATTTGGCGAGTTCCTTGAGTAACTTAGAAAGTAAGTTGTGTCAAAATAAACAGAAAAACCAATTTATACTAAGATTTAATTATATTGATAGTTCTACCCTACTAATTTAGATTATTAACTATAGGAGGAGTGTCAAAAAGTCATGGAGGTTATTTACGTTAAATGTCATAAAAAGTTTCTAAGTGAAAACATCAAAGAAACACATTGGCAAAGTTGTAACAACTGACAACTCAGAAATGTTACTTTGTAAATTTAGGAAAGTATTGAGAATTTTAAATCATGTTTAATATGTAAATTATCACATTGCCAATTATTTATTTAAACTTCGCACTGGTGAACGAATTGACATTAGTGTACTTTTTTGTACAAGCATTAATACTATAATTTTAAATACAAATAGGTAATATAGATTATTACATTCCAAACATTTTAACAACAATTACTTACCATTTTCACTAGAACTGTGTACAGCACTAATGAAAGCAAGATGAACATGTTAGCGAACAAAAAATATACAAAAGCACTATGAACAGGAGATGCGCCCCACCATAAGGCTAATATTTGTGCCAAAGCAGCAACAACACCGCCTAGTGCTTGGCCACTTATTGTTGCAGTCATATAGCCACTATCAAAGAAGCTCGCTAAGCCATACACTGCTCCTTGCATTATAGCACTTCCGACTAAAAAAAAATAATGTATTATTACTATATTACATTAGGTAAATCTACCAACACTTACTGTTGAGAAGAATAACAGTCCCTAATGTAATAGAAAAAAACAAAACTTGCCAAGAATCCGTATCTATGTTGACAAATAATGTTGTAAACGCAAATAAAAGTAACATGAACATTAAAGAACTTATCATTCGAAATTGAATAGACAGCCTAAAAATTACAAAGAGTTGATAAAAAAACATGTTTTTTTAAATAATTAAAGATAATAACACTCACTTTTTGGCCAAATAAGTATTCGCAAACAATACTAATGTACTGGGGATTGAGGCACTAATAGTGAGAAATGATGTAAAATTAGCTTGAAGCCGCGAAGAATGCATGTCATGATCGTGTGACAATATGTTTTCATTACTACCATTTGATATTGTTCGTAGTTTATACATCCAATACTTAAAACAACAAAAAATTAACAATAATTCAAAAATAAAGCATCTCTATTCAATTTACCTAATTAATTAATAATAGGTAAAATTATAATGAAGTCTTGTGAAGTCATAAAACAAGTTATAGCTTTAATAACGATAACAAAACCTATACAAGATTATTTTTAATACTTTGGTTTTAAAAAAATATATAATTTTAAAAGAATTGCTTTAAAAGCAAGTCTTATTTTATTTTTAATTTGATTCAAGCAAAATATGTGGTCATTCTTAAATAAAACTAATTATGACTATATTAATTTGCACTTAACATCTATCTAATAATTAACACTTACATCATGTGCAGTCATGAAAAAAAACCATGGCAAAAGAAGACAAGTTCCAAGCACATAAAATATAAGGTATCCAAAATAATATCTGAAAAATAAATGCATAATTTTACACCAAGTATAACTATCATATTTGTAATAACAGTTGTATAATATGTATATTACATGACAATTATTTTTATTGTATTTTTAGGACATTGAATATACGAGTATTTTAATCTTAAGAACATTGTTAAATGTAACTCAACAGTAGTAAGTACACCCGACTTGAACAGTATTTTCTTCCCGATTGGTTTGATGTACTTTTATTATGAAAACAATTTTTTTTTTAGTTATCATCATATTTTGGATGGTCATTTAAATCCATTGGTGATAATAAGTGCTTTAATATGTTAGCGTATTTCATTAATAATTGGACTGATGTATATTTAGGTAGGTATAATATGTCTTTTACTATGTATCAATAAAATGATTAAACAATTTAGTACTACTAATATCAGTTATAAACGTTAAACTAATGTAAAAGATAAAACATTTAGATTGCCTGACATAATACATAAACCATAAAACATGGTAAATGACAAATGTGTGTAATACTACGATTGACAACAAATGTCATAAAAATATTTACGATTAATACATTTTTTTAATTTTAACGTGTATAATAATAATATATTAATTTACCGGTCAATAGGTTTTAATGGAACGCCACCACCTTCATTAACAACTATGTCATCCAAATTTTTGTCCAACACTTGTGGACTTCCAAATAATCTGTTAGTAGTATTTCCTGTATATATAATAGGTTCGATGTCGTCCATTTTCGTTTAAGTTAATTGTATACAACCTGCAAAAATATGAAATATCATTTAAATATAATAAAAAGATATTAGATAAGTGACATTTGATTTTATAATCTATATAGCATGAACCTACTGTGAGCTAATATAATTTGAATAAAAAAATTACATCCTTCATTATTAAACAATGAGATAGTTATATATAGACCAATAAGCTGATTATTATAATAAGACGTTATTAAAAACAAATAGGTTTCAATAAAAATATGAATAATATATTAGATTTAAGAAAAGGAAAACAGGCAGAATAGTGGAATAATTATTTAGTGTTGCTTAAGTTAAATCAACGATTATTGATAGTTCAGGGGCTGTAGTTGTAGACAAAAACGTTTTATGAAGTATGATATATATAAAACGCATAAAATTATCTACATTGCCAATGTTTATTTATTATATTTCATAATTCACAAAACCAAGTTCGAATTTCTAAAGTGGGTAGGGATGTACGGAATTGGGATTACTCATTACTGATTACATTTAACAGATTGTGCGTTTATGAAGTTAGCAATATTATAAATATAGACCTTTTACTAATATCAGAAGGAGTATGCTTGTAGTTCCAGCGGCCAGCTGTGAGCGCGCTGTTTGTCTTGGCCTGATCATCGTTGCACATGCGTATTCGAATTACAAGTTTGTCATTTACATTTAAATATAAGTACATCACGATTAATGAATGATACTCTTAGTAAAACAAGATAAAATCTTTAAATAGCTGGCATGTTGTATAATCTTATCAACATTTACTTTTTTGGGTGTTTTATTTTTCTTTCCATGATGGTCGTTGACTTTTTTTTCTCTTTCTCTAGAGAAATGAAAACAAACATTGACCCACACAATGCACTTGGAAGTGATAACAATTTGTAATCAAATCAAATCGGTTAAAATTTAATAATTGTAATTTGTTTGGCAGGCTGTAGAGAAGGTACTCGAAATTCCTTTCTAATGAGTCGATAACCCATAAAAATAACTAAAATATCCTCATGAATTACATTCTGTAGTTAGGTACTTACAATTATTAACATTAGCATTATTTCAACAACTATTAACAAAAAAAATGGCTAATCATCAATTTCAAAGCATACCATTAAGCGCTGTCGAATCTGTAAGTACAAGTATATTATATTCTTTAAAAAATTATTCCAAAAAAATGTAATTAATGTCGGCTTTGATATTTGCTAGCTATTTTAGCTTTAATGTAGAGCTGAGAGTATATATATATATAAGCTTAAAATTATATATTATTTTCTATGCTTTTGTGTTCGGTTCTTAGTGTTTTAGCTATAGTTATAGGTTGTCAAAAAATTTTAACCTACCACGCTCTACCTCCTATTAAAAATGATAAATACATACTTTGTAGATTTTTGTCAAAGCTAAAATAAGAAGAAAAAAATTAATATTATCATTTAAACATTTCCTAACCATTTACAAATTAGTATTTAAGTGTTCTATTGAAAATGATTTTATTACTTTCAGACCTAATAATCTTAAAAAACTAACTCTCTATCTCTTATTTTTTTTTCAGCAATGGGAGGTTTTGTTCAACCAAGTAAGTTTTTGAACTCATTTTTTAATTTTCAATCACATAAATTATGTACAGTTGTTTTTTCTTGAGTATTAATTGAAAATATTTTTTAATTTATAGTTTGACAAAAACAGTGACGGTAATGTTTCCGTTAAGGAACTGCATCAAGCCTTAAAGCGAGGAGCAGGCGATCATTACAATGTACCTCCTAAATGTGTAGCAGCCATTGCACATGCAGCAGATCGCGATCAAAATGGATATATTAGCTTTAGAGAGTTTTTAAATTTAGTTAGTATTTATATTTATGAGTAATATTTTAATATAAAAACAAAAGTAATTAAAAAATGGTAATGAAATAATATTATTTTTTTAGATGGAAAATGATCCTGTAGCGAAAAGTTTAACTACAAGTGTATTTAACAAATACATACATTACACAATAGTACCTAGAGGACTCCCTCGACTTAGAACTTCTGGTTTAGATCGCACTGATGGTGATTACGAAGACGAATATTCATGTAATCCACCTGCGTTATGCATGATTCTTGTCAGTCTGGTTGAAGTACGTGATCAGAGGTATAAAAAACAAATTAAGTTCTATAATCCCATCATGTATGTTTAAGATATTCATTTTTACTTGGGATGTTGTAAAATTGCAAACCACAGAATCAATTAGAGGACCGATGGCATCAACATTTATTTTTAATCCACATCGTAGACGTGAAGCATGGCGATTCCTTACTTACATGTTTGTGCATGTCGGGTAAAAATGAAATAAGTTATTGATCGGGAGAAAATATATTAAATACGTTTTTTGTTTATAGGCAGACTCATTTGATTGTTAATTTAATCGTTCAAATACTACTAGGTGTACCATTAGAAATGGTACATCGTGGATGGAGGGTAGTAGCAATTTACTTGTCGGGTGTGGTGGCTGGATCTTTGGCTACATCTGTAACCGACCCTTCGGTTTATTTAGCTGGAGCGTCTGGAGGTGTCTATGCGTTGATAACGGCTCATGTTGCTACAATAATAATTGTGAGAATATTTTCTTTGAGTGTTTTTTTCAGTTGATTGTGGATTTTTTCTTTATCAGTGTATTCTGCTTTGTCTTTTATAGAATTGGTCTGAAATGGAGTTTGGTATTTATCAGTTGCTAATATTTTCAGTGTTAATATTTTTTGATACTGGCTCTTCTATTTACAACCGATATTTTGTGGAGACTGATAATCAGGTTTGTTATTTTTGTACTAAATACAAGTAGTAGTACAAACAACACTATTTTTGGGTTTAACCAAACTTTAAGTATTAAGAAACAAAATAAAAATTATTATTATACATTTAAATTAATTAGTCTACTTAAAAACATTAGTATTAGTAAAAACAATTAAAAAAAAAAAAAAATAGAAATAAAAGTACAAAACTGTATTCAGTCAAGGTATATATAGGGGCTTTTGATGATTAATATACCCGAGATGATAAAATTTACCTTCTATCTACAGATAAAAAAATTGTTCACTGGGTATTGCTTTTACATTTTAAAATGATTTTTAACGTCATGCATTTTTTGGTATTACGTTGAAAATATAATTAGAGTTGATCGTTGGTCTAAATATAATACAGCTCTGATGAGTAGCTGTGAAGATATTATTTTTACAATAATGTATTTTTTTTTTTGTGGATGATATTTTTTTAATCACAACTAATTTCTTCATGTAGCAACTATATAGTTCAAAACTCCTACCTAAAAGGTACTTCATTGGACCAAAAATTTGAAAAGTTTCCCCCTTCTCCTTCCAAATCGAGAAAAACACCAAACAAATTTACATACTTCAGGTCATATAATTACGGCGCTCTATAACTTTTTTAAAAATAGTCTGATTTGTTCTAAATTTATTTTGAATACTATTGAGATAAAATATCATTGATAATCATTGACAAACCATAAAAATATCATAAATACTTTCTTCTAGAAGGGCTGAAATCTTTTAAACTTTTTCAAATTAATTTTTAGAACTTAAGGTCTGAAAATTAGACTGCAGGTAGGTCTAGGGTGAGGCTGAAACGTTTACGATTTTCTTAAAAATCTATTGTACGTGTTGTTAATACATAGGTAACAACGACAACTAATATTATAGATGGATGATTAACCCTTATCGTATGTACCCTATTACAAAAATGTAATTTTAAGCACATTATAGCTACAATTCTTTTATCAATTTTTGTACTCCTACAATCTACAGATTAGCATCAAAGTGTTTATTTAAATGTAATTTTAAAAAGTTAGAATTTTTTTTTGGATGTAATTTTATTATTAAATAATCATGTTTATTTTATATGTTTTAAAAGATTGGCTATACAGCACATTTAGCTGGTGCTATGGCAGGTCTACTTGTTGGAGTATACACTTTGCGTAACCTCAACGTTCGACCATGGGAAAAAAGATTAAGTTGGATTTGCTTTACAATTTATATTATATTAATGGGAACAGCTATGATATGGAACTTTGTAATACCAGAGTATTTTTCTAAAGAACAGTATTAAACAATTTTAATATTTTATACAAATTCTTTTATTATATAAAATATATATTTTTTTTATTGAAGTATTTAATATGCCATTAGTATTTTACGATTAAACCATTATTAATTTGCACAAGAATCATTTTATATTACTTTGTGATCTATAATTTCCAAAGTAAACATTTCTACTTATTGTAAAACAAGTTGTCCATTTAAAAGTATTTTTTCACAAGTGTCCATTTTATTAAATTTATGTTCTTTTTTGTATTATTTATATGTTATTTGAATTCCTATTGTTCAATAAAGAAAACAATTTTACTTTTTTTAAATAAAGCATTTTTTTTTTCAATTTATGATTATAGGGTTAAGTTACTATCAAGAAGAACTTACTTGACATCCAATTATATGATGGCCATGTTTGTTCAGTAGCAAAATTAAAAATTAGAATAAATACGTTTTGACATTTCGACTAATATATGTTTTTAATATTAGCAACTATAGCTTGTTAATGAAAGCATCCAGAAATACTATATTTTGCTATTTTGTGTAATACCCATTTTAAAACACACCAATATAATTACCTACATTGAAATTGCAAATTATAGATATCAGTTTCTGCCACCCTACCATAGAGATTATAAATAGTGGTTAGCTGTTGTCTACACACATGTAAAACATAAAAGTAATGTTTAAAAACATGTCATCAGAAATCTGAACATTTGTTTTACCATTAAACTATTACAAATAAAATATGCACGAAATAATAGATTTTAATTATAATATATATTTGAAAAAAATAAACCATACAATAAATAAAACTAATAAGTGGGTTAACAAAAATTTAAAAAAAACTTTAAAATAGGATTGACTAAAATTATAGATTAATACAATATAGTTAATACAAAATAGTTTCACAACACAAGTTTAATTAGGATTTACAGAATGTTTACAATATCTGTATACTCAAGTAATACTTCTAGAAAACACAGTTATTTTAAACATTATAAAATATAGTAATACACAATTGCTTAAAAACCGAAAAACTAGTTTTGCATTTAATTGATAGTCATAAGAGAATGTGTCATGTTATTGATATGATTTCTCAAGTAAATAAAATGTAATATATTAATTATTTCCAAAGTATAGGAACTTGTTAATATTCTGTTTTTATTTTTAATGGTAGGAATAATTTTCAATTAAACAATATAGTTTTATCTAACTAGTATGTATTTTGTTTTGTTCAGTTAGCTAGAGCTGTATTATTATTAATATTTATAAACTAAAAAATAAATTAGAGGTTAATTATAAACCACTTTGTTCACCATGACTAAGAAGTGTTTAAAATAAAACTACTTGAACATTCAGCAGAAAACTAAAAATATAATAAATTAATCGATACTTATTAAAATGCAAAAGCTTTTTTTTTCATATTTATTTCATATATATATATATATATCTAAATTAATTAAATAATAGTAATATTATTTTTTACAATGATTTTAGTTTTTAGTTAAAGGGTTATTTAATAATTTAATTGTCGTGGGTAAGAATGAATAAAAAGTTTTAGAACATTTTTTGTATACATGAATACAATTAACAAAAACCTCAGTGTATCTGGTCCCTCAAATTTAAAAATACTTACTGCACGCTGATGTACAAAATTTATCAAGCTAGTTGCAGAATTTAACTGTATCATAAGCAATTAATTTACTATTAATAATCTATTACCTAACTACGAAAATGTTTCACTAAAAAATAATATTAAACGATTTTACTATTTTGTTCGATCATTACTACATTTGTTCTAAGTTTTGTATGTAAAATTGACAAAAATAAAAAATAACTCAATAAATAAGTACTGCAATAAGCAAAAAAAAAAACCAAATCAAGTTTCTAAAAATTAAACCATAAATAAAAAATAATACTGGCCACTTTTGTCCAAAGTTAACACTACAATCACAGACTAAAGATATTAAGTTCTTAATAAAATATACATAACAGAAAGTGATAACTAATAAATAATAACAAGAATGGTTATGATGGTGATCCTCGGTGATTTTAAAACATTATGATTGGAATAAATAAAATTATTAGTTTGTTTTCAATTTTAACAAACAAAAATAGATTAATTTTAGTAATCTCAAGTGTTTAGCAACAAAATTTAAATAAATAGTTTTTAGTTACTACCTAACAGTGATATTACATGTGTACTGTTTTTATATCATTTAACAAAACTTTGCTGGATTAATACGTTATTCATGTCTTACAAATACCAATTTAAAGCCGTTTATCAATAGCTGCAGCTTCTTGCATCCATTGATCAATTTCATGTCTATACATGCGCCGTTGAAGTACTTGTCGATTTCTTGGTCTACTTCCTAGGAAGGTTATTTTGCCCTAAAAATAATAGTGGTAAGTGTTAAATATTTGACAATATAATGGGAAAAATACTTACAACTCCAACAAACATATCAGATCTAAATTTCTGTAACGCTTGAAAATCTTTTACATAATTCATAACATCTTCCCATTTTAATTCAACTTCTTCATGAAGTAGTTTTTCCTCTACAAAATAAATTAAAATGCAAGGTGTAATTAATAAGATACTTTAAACGAGACACTAAAAAAATAATAAGACATGTAATACAAACCATCTCGTTTTGTTGTTTGTTTCTTGTACTGAATTCGGAATCTAAAAGCTTCCAAGACAGACGCTACAACAATGGTTAAAACGACCATAGTGAAAAGATAAAAAAGTACAAAATATGCTCTACTGGTAGGATGCACTTTTGAAGCATAACCGTTCATTACGACAAACCAATTGTTCACAACAGTGAGTTCAAATAGTGTGACGAGGCTTACCGCCAAATTAGGAAACGTGTTTAAGTAGTAATATCCAGACTTGTCTGGCGTGTACTTATAATAAGTTTCAATATTTGTACCGCTAAAAAAACAAATTAAATATAAGTTATAAGAACAATAACATATTAATATTGTGTACACATGTAAATAGTAAACACAAATCATTACTTGCAACAATTTCTCATGTCATAGCCGGCAAACAGTTCCATTCCAATAATAGCAAAGAAATAATACATGACCAGCATAACACATCCGGCAGACTTAATTAAAGGTGACAAAATAGCCATAGTACCAATGATATCCCTGTATCGCTTTTTCAATTTAAATAATCTTAAAAGTTTTAGAGGTCTAAACACAACTACGTATACAAATTTCGGAAAGAAACGTAACGACACAACACCAATTAAACCACCCATTGTTACAACAAAATCGTACAAATTCCATCCTGATGAAAAATAGCGTTCCAGTCCTAATCCTAACGTTTTAAGAGCAACTTCTATAGTGAAACCTAAAAATTAAAAAAATTCAGATTATTTATTAATACTCATCAATAAAAGAATACTATACATACACGCTAAAAAGAAACATGTATCCCATCCAGCGCTAAATGCAAGTATGGACTCATTAATATTTGGGTATGTGTGCATGCCACGTTCAACCATTGCAATACCATTCATTACAGTGAGAAAATCTGAAAAATAACATTAATTAAAAATCAAAACAAATAAAAGAAAACTATAAAGGGAAAAAAAGAAATATTACAAAATATATGATCAAAATAAGGCCATGAGATAATCGAGTTTGCCATTTGACAAATATTTTGAACTGTAGGAGGTGCGGTAAAATACCACGGTGTATCTAATGCTTGTGGTTGCCAAGACATCATTACAGAATCGTAGACAGAATAAAATTCATCAATATTTAATGAGCCAGATCCACTTGTGTTTAAAAATCTGAACATCACTATAGTATCTCGATTGCCTAAAAATAAATATAACACATTAAGTTACCTCTTATCATAAATTATTAATTTTTTTAATTAAAATTACCTTTTTTAGGAGCATAATACTTCATGAGACCTTCAAACTGAGGAAACTCCATTTGATTGGGATTTTCTTTTGTCAGTAGCAGTTTAAAAGCATTTTGACATGCTTGACGTTTATGCAAAAGTAATTTGCGAAATTTATCCCTTTCAATACTTGTAAATGTTTCATACACAACAGCTAACATCTAAAAAAAAAAATTGATTAATGAATCTCAAAATAAATTAAAAAATGTAATTTACTTACTAAATTCATGAGCATATATAATACGATGCACAAGTATGATATAAAGAATAATGAATACCACTTGGACTTGGAGTAAGCTGGCATCATGATGTCAGGAAAACTAAAAAAAAAATTGTTACTGGCCAACTCTTAGCTTTTTAATGTTGATGGTTAATTACTTGGCTGTAGTTAACAAAACAAACATATTGACAAAGCTGTTGAACAATGTGTCAAAATGATTGTGTTCATCAGTACAGCTTTCAAACAAATAGTAACCAAGCACTGAATACACAGTTACAAAAAAGAATATCAGCAAAAGCATATCAAAAATTGGAGGTAGCGATTGTAGTATTTGTCGAATGAAACGCCGAACTCCTCCTAAATAATGAGTATCTACCAAAAAGATTGGCCGGAGTGCTCGTGTAACACGAAAATGAGATGTCTCACGAATTAATACAATAAATGCTTCTACAATCATAATTGCTAAAGTAACGCACTGAAAAAAATGTTTAAAGACATGACATGTAGCATAAGATTATACTAAAACATTATCAATAACTATGTTATAGATAACTATGTTATAGATGCTATATTACAGCATAACATATTTTAAACCTAAACAACAAATAATATGATTGTATATTATAAAATAATCAACTATACACATACCTTTAACATTGTTCTTTTATGTTTTAATATTGTTAACCATCCCATCCATCTCAGTTTTAAAGCTAGTCCAAGGCCAATAACACCAAGAGATAACAATTCAATAATACTGTGGAGAGCAACTGGCATCTATAATAAAATACATGTTAAACAAAAAATTTTTTTTTTTCATTTGTTAAGTATAACAAATGAAATTGCTTGAAATGAATTTGTTAGTAAGCAAATTGCTGCATACCCATTTACAACATCTATGTGAATAATTATAAATAATTTGTAAATATTTCGGAATTCTTAATAATATAGAAAACTTATACTCTTACTTCAAACGGAGGTGTTGCTGGATCTTCAGCGAATGCTAAAACTATAAGGACTAATGATGTTGCTAAATCCATACCATAATACCAATTATTATGCACCAAGAGATAAGCAGGAAGAGCTTCTGGTTCATGAGGATGGGAATCAAATTTTTCGTTGTTTTCACCTTCCTAATAATTGGTATTAATTTAATTAACCATTGTATATATTTTTACAATCATACTTACTTCTAAAAAAATTGCTGCCTCATGATAGTTCATTTCCCAAAATTGGTCAACATCAATTCTACGGTCACCATCACTAAATATAACATCTAATCTTCCATCAAAATGTCCTCTTAAATCTATATTTTCTCCATCATCATTTGCAATTGTCGTTTCGTTAATACTAAGCGGAACATCTCCATTTCGATCTTTAAAAATTAGATGTTAAAAACAGTATTAAATCAAACAACTCGAATAGGATAAATGTAAATAATAGGATAAATAAGTATTTACTGGTAGGTGATTGGGAATGATACGAGTTCACAATATCATCATCAAATCTTGAGTAGCCGTCTGCCATTTTATCTTATTTTATTTTAGCGACAGTTTAAAACTCAAAACTGCTGGTTTCTTGGTGACATTAGCCAAATATTTGACCACTTCATAGTAATTAATATATTTTTCATGTAATTAGTAAAAGCTTCCCATTTTTTTCCAGTAAAAATATACATGAACTACGTGATGTTGAATATATAATTGTATAAAACACTAGGATATAATACTTTACAAACAACCAATAGGCTTGACTAATATTAATAGTTATTTTATGCAAATGATGTAATACTTAAGTGGTTTTTTTTGTAGAAACTACAATTTGGGAACACTTGTTAGATGAACCACAATTATTATGAAGACACTACTTTTGATTGATGAATGATGAGTAGTCCAGGGCTTGAGCCTTGACAATTTGTTCCAAGTGCATTGAGCGAACTGCGAAGTGCGAATTGTTAACACTTAACAGACAACACTATGTTTATTGATAAGAGCAATCGAGCGTAAACAATGAGTTGTGGTCGTAGACCATCTTATACTAATTATCTGGTCTATGGTCGCATGAAATTCGTGTCACTCGAGATAACATATACTATGAACAAAAAGTTGGCCACACTGTTAAACCTAACCTCTATGTTGCATTGGTTCTGATATGTACAATAACAATAATTAACAAACGTCCAGGTTCGTTCTCTATTTCATAATAGTTCGCGTTATTAACGTTGTTTAAAATTGGCGACAATAATTCCATCAAAGTAAGTACTACTTTTTATCCATTTCAATCTTAAAAATTATAAATGGTGTTATGATATTTCTATATTTCTATTAAGCCTTTTTATATAACGTTCACGAATATGTAAAACTTAAATGTTAAACATTCGGCAATATTTTATTTAGTCTGTTGTTAATAATTCATATTTTGTAGATGATGTACAATTTTCATTTAGTATAGATAACGTTTTTTAAAAGTTTAATACATTAATTATCTAGTATTGTGTAGTATTTTTAAATTTGGGTAATAAAACTAAGTACTCAATTTTTTGAAATTTTTATTTTACTATTACAATAACTTAAAACTTGTTACATCTTGTCTCTTAAGTAAGTCTCTTTTTGGATTAATACGCACATAAGACCACATATTCTATTAAAGTTTATGTACAATATTATCTCTTACACAAGCTTTTATAAATTAAATAACAAAATTATTATGTTTAGAATGTTGATACCGTAAACTTATAGACCCAGATTTCTATTAAAGAGTATGATAATTGTTGACTCAGTTATTCTTTTTTATTTACATTTATAATAAAATAAGTACTACTTCGAAACGTACAATATACCAAAAATAAATTTACTAGTTAACAACACAAAATAAAAATTTTATTATTTTGTTTAATTGAGAAATTATAAATGATATGTTTTATTTAAGATGGCTAAGGCTAAGGAAGCAGTTGTGAAATCTGAGTCCACGGACGCCAAAAAGAAGTTAAGACCAAGTAAAGTTAAGAGCTTGGCAAAATTTGAAGCTAAAAAGAAGGCAAGAGCAGCTGGTACATTGACGAAGAAACCATCAAAGAAGATAAACTTAACGAGTGGTACTGCTACGTGGAAAGTAGTATACAAAAGTGGCACATGGCGTTTTGTTCACCGGCCTACTGAAGCAAAATTATATGCTAAAGCAAAGGCTGCTGGAAAGCCTATCGAATCACCAGTAATTATTCACAATTATTTGTTTTCAATTAAAAAAAATGTGTTTACTTATAATTTATATATGAATTATACAGAAAAAGAAGAAGTCCATCATTGTCAAGCCACTTAAAGGTGAAAAGAATGGTGAAACTCGTGAAGTACACACTGTTAAACGCAAAGCTTACTATCCAACCTTAAAAACGTAAGTGTTATTGGAACGAAGTTCCTTATTTTATTTTATTTGAGTAAGAGTATGAATTATGATAAATAAACAGCATAATTGTTTTTAAGATCTTTTGCTTGGCATTAAATATTTACATTTTTAATGTATAATATTTTTACAAATAGATGTTTCAATTTGTGACTTGAGGATTAAATTATCGACCTAGGTTTTTCAGGTATTGTGAGGTTGATATAATGGTGATACTTTCTTTTCAAAGAAGGAAATCATGGCCCTAAATAGACCATTTAAGCTGTTATCTAAAGTTATTTCCTAAAAAATGTTATTATTCTAAATGATATAGTATTAAGTTAATTATTATTGAACCAGAGTCGCAGACTATACGCATTGAAGTATATCTGTGCTAAAGAGTGTTCATAAATTCAATTAATTTATATTTATGCACTATTTATAATTGAATTTATAGAATGGACACAAATAAATTATACATTACGTACCCATACTTCATATTATGACTTAAAATCATTGATTACTTTAAAGGTTCCGGTGGAAAAAATATTAATTTAGGTAGCCTGTTTACTGGGCGACAAATTGTGTAGTGAATAAGAGCTGCCATCCTTCGTTCTAGCAATACTTTGTCTTGAAAGAAGGCAATTATGGCCCTAAATAGACCATTTAAGCTGTTATCCAATGTTATTTCTTATAAAATGTTATTAATTTAAATGATAAAGTACTAGTTTAATTATAATTGAACCAGAGTCGCAGGTTGTACGCATTGAAGTATTCCTGTGCTAAAGAGTGTTCATAGACAAATTTCAATTGTATTTATGCACCATTTCTAATCTTTATTTTATTATAAAATGGACACAAACAAATGATACAGTTAATAATACTATATACTTTATTTTATGAGACTTGTTAAAATAAAAGGTAGAGTGATGAGTAAAAAGTGGTTTTTAAAAATGGCCATAACTCAGTTTACAAATAAAATAAAAAAACCTTTATTTTTCCATTAAATAGACTGCCCTACAATTATTAATGTATCAGTATACCAATTACAGGTTTCTTACTTCAGGAATTCATATGAATCTTTAATATGTAAATGCGTTGTCATAACTGTCATATGAGAGTAACTGAGAGAAATCTATAAACTATACCATAATACAATTAATAAGCTATAATTGTTATTTAAATATAAAAAAATAAATATTAATTAAGTGCATTTATTGTTAAAATAAAATCAGTTTCACTTAATTTTAAAGATTTTGAGTTATGTATGAAACAATTAAATTTATATTGAACCAGAGTCGCAGACTATACGCATTGAAGTATATCTGTGCTAAAGAGTGTTCATAAATCAAATTAATTTATATTTATGCACTATTTATAATAGAATTTATAGAATGGACACAAATAAATGATACATTAAGTAACTATAGTTGATATTAAAGATCTTAGAATATAAAATTAATTCCTTCACATTAACATAAAAACACTTTTATAATTTGATTCATAAAATAGATATAGTCATAGACATAGTCATAGATATAGTCAGTTGATATTATAATAAAATATTTTAACTTACGGCAAATTTTACTTTTTTAACTTTAAATAAGTTAATTTTCTTCATGAGGCTGTTCATATTTTGCTTGATTTACAACTAGCCAATTTTTACATAATATATCTTGCATGATAACAGAGCAACATACTTGGTCCATTCCGCATACATTAACAATAAAAGATTGAAAAAAAAATTATATGATAGTAGTTCATTTAATATTAGTGTGTTTAATTGTTTTCAGACCGAAGAAGCACAGGTCTCGCGGTTTGTTTAAGGAACACAAACGTAACACTCGTTCATCGTTGACTCCTGGAACAATTGTGATTTTACTAACTGGTGTGCATAAGGGCAAGCGAGCAGTTTTGTTGAAAACTCTTGATACTGGTTTGCTTTTGATTACTGGACCTTTTATCTTGAATGCGATCCCACTTAGACGTGTTCACCAAGGACATGTGATTGCCACCAAAACCAAGTTGGACATTTCTGGTGTGACCATTCCGAAGGAAATTGATGACAAGTATTTTAAACGCGTCCAGCTGAAAAAGAAACCCAAGAAGAATGAGAGCAAAAGTCTATTTGTTTCAAAACCTAAGGTATTTAAAATTATTATAATTTTTTTAAAAATATTTTGCAAGTTAAAATAATAATTTGTAATTCAATTATTTTCAGACTTACCGACCATCTGAAACTAGAAAGACAGATCAAAAAACTGTAGATGCCCAAATATTGGATATTCTTAAGAAACATCCTGCTAAGAAATCATTTTTCTTGTACCTTTCATCCATGTTTGGCTTAAGAAATAACCAATATCCCCACAGAATGCAATTTTAAGCATTTTTTGGCTATTGGTTATTTTTATTTGTATAAGTACATTATCAATAAAAATGATTGTGTATTTTTATTGGATTTGTCTTTTTTATTTTATTAGTATTACTACGAATCCCAACTATTTAAGAATTGCATAGTGCAGGAACTTCATTCTAAAGCACAATAAATTGAAATGTAAAGTAACAAACTATTGTACCTAAATTTCAAAATTTAAATTTAACATGCTAGGTAAAATTAGTTAAGAGTGCATTTGAAAATTGCTTTGAATTCTTATTTAAGATGTGTAAACAGTCAAATAATAGTTAGTACATATGAATAATGGAAAATTGTCACAAAGTAATACTAAGGTTAAAAACTTTTATTAGGACTTGTACAATGAACAGACATTTTTATCTTCTGCTGGATTTTCACGAGAAAGAATATTATGTTAGTTATTTAGTCAATACTCGAAGGAAGTATTTTATGTAAAATTTGATTAACTTTTTACTTGATAGAATTCAACAATGATGCCTATCATATCTTGTTAAACCAGAAAAATGTGTTTTAATTAGTTGAGCATTAAAATGTTATGAAGCCAACAAAAACTGATGATTTGGGGTTTTTATATATTATAATTTTATTAATTTGGTATGATTATTAATTATCCATCCTTATATTCTTTACCTCCATACTTGTTCTTATCTAGGTCAACTGTAACTACAGTTATTTTCTCAAAAAAAAAAATGTATTTATCTCCTTAATTTCTGCCCTCCATTTGTTTTATTTTACAATGCTACTTTCTGTCATAAATGATATACTAGTGTCAAGCGAGAAATGTGTAATTTGACCAATGGTGTAATTAAAACGCACGTTAGTAATAATTATAAATTTTATTACCGATATTATCCTACTCGGTTTAGTGATACAAGCAATTAAAAATAAAACTAGGGGAACACAATATTATAATATGAACTGAACATTCATGTACCTATTTTGCCTATACCTTGCCCCTTCCAATTTTACCATGTTAATGTTTACATATTTTCCTATTTCCTTGTTAATTAAATGTGTATTTAAATATATTTTACTTAACTTCAAGTGCTAAAATCCCCCCAAAAAAACAGCTGTTGTTTTATAAATGTGAAAGTTTATATTTGTAAGTTAAAGCTATTCGAATTTCGACTTAGTAGTCTCGACAGTGGGATGTTAATGATTTTCTTCTTAGAATTTTTTTGAGTCTAAGCCTCAATAGTATTTATATTTTGATATTTTATCCTATCAGCTATGTCACATGTAATTTATTGGTAATTACTCGTTATTTCTAGAATTTAAAGTTAAAATTGATTATGAAGTTTCCATTTCACACGAACAACATAGTTTAATGAATATCGATGAGTTTCGGTAAATTACAAACTTTCTTCGTACAAAAATATGAAACTTGAGTTATACCTGTTTTATAGATTCACAAGATTAACGTTATATGTGAAAATGTAAATAATTAAAATACTTCTAAATATTTGAAATCGAAAAATAGTTAACATTGTAGACTCATATTTAAGAATCTTTTAACAATATATTATTAGTGTCAAGAAATATATTCGGTAAAAAAACATATATTATATTATATTGGACCATAATATTAATAAATGTTTTATTTATTTAACTTTAATTGTCTCTCTATTCCTTGAACGTATTTTTCTGGTACATTGTGTGCTCTGAAACAAATAAGTTAAATAAATAGTTAGAGCCATTATAGTGTACATAGTAAGTACGGTGTTGCTCAAGTGTCTATACAATTTGATTGTTATTAGTATAGAATGTGTATTATTATTTTTATAATAAATAGTATAGTAAGAAATAAGAATAGTCACTGAGGATGATTTATATTTGCTACTAATAGGTAACACCTTAACTCTTAAGTGTATCTTTTTCATTTGATTAGCCTAATGAATATGATACACCCCACTAGTTAGAGCAAATGGTCTAAATGGTATTATTTACTTTGATGCAATAACTTACTTGAGGTCGTCGATTTTATTTTTCATTGTCTCCTGTAAAGTTTTCTGTCTGTTTAACTCCTCTTGTTTGAGCTTAATACCTTCCTCGAATAACTTTTTCCTCTCTTGTATCTTTTCTTGTTCCCTGTCGTGAATTTGTTTCAAAAGGTTTTTCCGGTGTTGTTCTATTTTCTGTTTCAAATAAAAATCAAATTTTACTCTGAATGCAATACAAGTATTATAGGTAAGCATAAAATATTAATTATTTTTCAATACTTGTTTGTGTTTATTTTCCAGCTCTTTGGTTTTCTCAATATCTTCAACATTGAGTTTGACAATTTTTTCAAATTCTTCTTTTTCCCTTTGAATTTCAAACGCGTAATTCTTTCTTTGGTCTTCGATTTGTTTATGCCTAGCTTTCTTCAGTTCTTCTTCATCTTTAGCTCTTTTTAACGCCTCCGTGCGTTCTTTATGGCGCCATTGTCGTTCCACCTTAAAAAAAAATCATCCAAAACTGATTGTTGTAATATGTCAGAATTATGAGAGAGAACGTACCGCATCTCTGATCCTGAGAGCGTTTAGTTCATCTTTGGCCGCTTGCATGTCTTGCGACGCTTGATGACTAGCTTGTATCTTTGCAAGAGTTTTGTCCTTGAGCAATTTTTGCTGTCTGGTTTCTTCCTCGAACGCCGCTTCTCGCTCGTTTTTCTTGCGAGTATATTCTTGAATCTATATAGACATACAAATACATCTGTCGTATACAAGAAGTCGTGCGTCTTAAATTGTAATCATTAAAAAAATCATAACCTGTAACATTTCGATGGTGTTCATCTCCTGTTCGATCTTCTTCATGTCTCTCAGCTGGGCGTTTAACTGCAGAAACTCCTTGCGCAACGCCGCTTGTCTTTCCATTCTCGACTTGTAGTCCTTGACTTCTTCGCGTTGAGCCTCAATCGCAGCTTCCGTCCGGACCCTTGCTTCCTACAGGACTGTTCGCGTTTTGTACTTACAATATTTTATATAAAACCCAATTGTGGTGTTAAGTGCATTATACTTCAGCGATCCTGGCGTTTTCCATTTCCCTGGCTATCTCGTTTTCTTTCATTTGCTTCTCGATCTCCATCGCCTGCAATTTCTTTTTCAGTTGCTCCGTCTCCGCTGCTTTTTCGTATTCCTTAGCTGCCAAAATCCGTTCTTGTTCCATAATCTTTTCCATCCTACGTTCCTCTTCTTTCATTTCTCTCCTGCATACAATTCACATGTACATTTTTAAATATACAAATACCTATACCATAAGTCAGAGGTCCTAGGGTTAGCTTTTACCTAATGGTATACCTAATTGGTTGATATTGGTGACCCATGTTGCTATATAGTCGTTTTAATTATTTCGGGTGTACCAAAATAAAAGGTGTAGGTATTACTTGTATTGCTAAATTTGCTGATAAAAACTATTTGAATCGAATACAATAAAAAAATTGAATTTCACAGAAATGTGCCATAGCTGTGTTAGAGTGAACTTTGTTAATTGAGGGTGGTAATATTTAACTACCAATTCGGAAATATGTCTGCTATAGAAATTAAAGATTTCATAGTTAAATTTAAACGAGTGATCTATATAAAACCGTATGAAGACATGTGCCTACCAAATATTTTTATCTATAAAAAAAAATATAGGAAAGGTATTGGATGAAAGGCATAATTACTTTTGCTATAGGTAACAATATACTTACTGTATAAGTTGTTTTTCTGCTATTTGGGCATTTCTTATAGCATGGCATTTGGTGCTCAATATCAACGAGTTGCAACATTTAATTTCATCTTCTTGGTCTTGTCTCAATTGGTGTGCCCTGGCTAATAAATAGTTGGATTTTTTGTTTGCATCGTCGTCTAACTGTTTAACAAACGCATAATCTATTATTTGTATTATAATTAAATGAATATACTTGCAATATATTGTGATGAGGAGTCAATATGGTAGAACATAGTGTCTGCAGTTTGAGAAATATATATACCAGCAATTTGTATTCATAAAATTGTACATAGGTTTTTTTTAATTGATTTATGATTAGGTACCAAGATAATTTTTTTCATGTTTACTAATATTATACTTTGTATACAATTTGTATAATGTACACAATATTCCTTTGTCATTATAATGTTTTTTATTCACATTTACCCGGTAGAAGCATACTCGATACATTTAACGATTCATTTCTAGCCTTTCAGATGAGAAACCAATTTTTATCCGAGTTTCTACTTCAATGGATATAACTTAAGTACGCACTAAACGCTTGAATTACCTATTAATGTATAATAAAATAGACTTCTAATTTAGATAACACATAAATTTATTCGTCTAAGAATATGCGAATTCTTCATCAACCAACAGGATATTATCCTAAATTCTTAAAATCTATTACAAAATTATAGTCGCCCCTCCCCTTGAATTTTCCCCTGTGGGCGCACCTTCACGTGAGTGATAAAATAATTATTGAAGTCTTAAAGTCTTGAGTGCATCAATCAAACGTGTGGTTGAATCTCATAAGTAACCGCTATTGATTTTACAATAACACAACAGTGTATACTTTTAAACGTGAGCCGAAAACAAAAACGTTGTAATCGGCTCTTACAAGATAGATAGCACGTCATAATACATCGAAGATGGTACAATCTACTTCAGAAATAAACCAATATAAAAAAAATATATAAATATATACATTATATTATGTACAAATAACCTATTGTTCGTTTTTCATTTAATTCAATTTTTTCTACTCCTTACTTTTTTAATCAATAGTAGTCTATTCAAATAAAAATCCCTAAAATTTCAAATCTCAACTCAACCTAAGTACTGCCCGTGCATTTTTTTTACATTTGATCATAATGGGAAATTTTGATTTCTCATTAAACAGATTTTCCAACTTGAAAACTATTTTTTTTTTTAGACACAGTTATAACTTATAAAAAAGTATAATTATTGTCGAAAGCAAAAAATGTATGCACATCTTATTCATGACCAAGACTATAATATATATATATATATATATATTATAATATACATATTATGTAATTTTTAAATATCTACTTAACAAAACGTCACCTGTGCTAGTTTTCTGCCCTTTGTCCTTAAATTGTCGTAACTCTGGAGCTGTTTTTTCCTGGCTGCGCTCTCGTTCTCCAGTCTCTCCCTTTCGGCTATCAATCGTTCGGCCAACATCCGCCGCTCTTCGGCCGTCACCACCACCGACTTGTTCTTTAACCTACCAAAAGTGACCCTGTCGATGACCCTCAGGTCCGGCGGGGTAGCTAACGGTTTGTTTTGCCTGTCCAACTTGCAGATCAAAGCGTGGCGCCTTTGATTGCCGGCGGTGCCACTGCGGTTGTTCTCATCGAACCGGACGTGGTTTTTCGGCATGGTCATGATAATATAATTTTCCCCGGTCAAGGGAGACTTATAAGTATATATTAACAGCTGCTCCGGTCAAAAGACGCACAGCGCAGACACTTTGCCAATGCCACGAGCACGCTTCTCTGTATTATGTAAAGACGGACCTTTCACACAGTCTGTTTGCCAGACTACACTTCCGGTTGAACGCAAGCGACTTCCGAATCAACAACGAGGAAAATGCGATGAGAATTATACGTTTCATACGTGTCGAGACGAGGTACCATATTGTGAAACCAAAGGAGTTTGTTGACAGAACGGTCGTCGCTAAGGGCACAGCGGTTTGTGTTCCCAGAGAAACGTCAATTTCTCGCAAGTTTACCCAACAAACAGCGAAACCGTTACTTATTACCTACTATGATGGTATTATGATAGCACAGTATAGTGTACAGTATATTTACAGCGGTATAGCAAATTAAAAAAGATTTTTTAAAAGCGAATTTTCGATCACTGCACAGCAGATAACTTATTTGTTCTTTACTAACAGCTGAACGGTGCTGGACTCGACAATTCGAATTAGAAGCGTTTCACTGGAGTTCTATCACTTCTAAATAATTAATAAATCAGCTTGCTTGGTTTTTGTCGTTGTTTTTCAACAGTGTCGGTAAACTATGTAAACTGATTAAGGACACAAGCATTGGTGTTGTAGTATATTTTTTTTAAGTATTCTTGAACAGACATTTTAGATTAAAATCTAAATTATTCGATTGTATCGTTTTTTTAGGTAATTTTTTTTAAAGCGGAGCGAAGAGGAAAATTAAGAAAAGTTTAATGTTTTCTTCTCCTTTGGGAAAATCCCAAAAAATTTTAAAGATTTTTTTTATGTTATCATCTTTGACTCTAATAGCACTAATAAATCGGGAAAACTTCACCTTTTTTTCGTTTTTTATCTTATGTACCAGACATTAGATATTAGTCCTTCCTCGAATATTCGAGAAAAGTTTTTTGGTTAATTTTTTGAGCCACTTTACAATAATTAAGAAATTAGAGCATCTACATAAAATATAATATGTACTTAAAGAATTCAGCATAGTCGGTTCGGAGCACAGTGGGGAAGGAACATATTAGGTTTTCAGGGATTAATAAAACTGAAAGCGATAAAATCACTTTCAAATAAACGCTTCGATGCGAATCTGTAAATGTTTGAAATTAGTAAGATAGTAAGTAATAAACAGTCAAGGATTCTAGATTCCGTTAATGGTTCTTAAAAGTAAATTTTTTAGGTGTATTTCTAGGGTGATACGGTGAAAGGGAAGGGCATTTTCCTTTTATAAATAGCTCTCTATTTTACCAAAAAGTTATCGCTGGTTAGACTTCACACACACACAAAATAATTCCAGAAATTTTCAGACATAAGTGACAAATTATCGTTTTCAAATTGAACGACGACAGCCGTCCGTCCCGTAACCATTTTGTCACCATTTTGCCGTTTAATTAAAACATCACAAGCGTACATCACATACATTAAATACCTTTGTACAGCAGGGCTCTAAGCACTCGGTAGTTTGCTTTCATCCGACAAAAACTAATTAATGTGCAGGGTAATAGTGTAATTCATCCTTCAAATAAATCACGGTCAGGTGTGCGTGCTACTATGTGTATGTGTGTGTGTGTGTGTGTGTGTATGTGAGAAACAAAACGGGTATGTTGCCTACGCCCTACGGGCAGAGGGAATGGGTTTGTGCGGTGGCGGTTGGGGTTGTTGTAGGGACAGGCGGGTGTGATAACGGACAGGAGGGTTGGAGCGGTCGGCCGAGCGTGATCGGTGGTGGATCACGTGCATGTGCGACGGCCGTGCGGCGGCGGCGACGTCGACGACGACGACGACGGACGATGGCCGACGGGGTTGTGTGTTAGTGTTGGCTCCGGAGTGATATGCTGCTGCGGTGTGTGCGGTGGCCAACAGACGGGACTGCGTAACGAACCCGTCACGACGGTCGTCGTCCCATCTCGTACCATGACGCCCGCGGCATTCGTGCTGGCCTTCGTCGTCTGCGCCACGACCGTCGGCTGTCACGATAGTAAGTACCAATATGCGCGCATTTATTTGTTTTTTTTTGGGAGGGGAGAGGAAGAGTCTGTTTATTGTTTTTACCGGTATACAGAGTGATTCGTTAAGGATAAGACACTGATTTTTTCTTAAAAATAATGGCAATTTTATAGTTTTTCTTGTTGGAGACACTTAGGTAAGGGTTTACGTTATTTTATAATTACAAAAAATACCAATATTTTATGTTTGTTAGTATTTTCTAGAGCTCTATCAATTTTGGAAACTTAACGAGATTCTAAATTAAAAAAGTGAATTCATTATATACGTTACCATTTCAGTTTGAAAAGTTGATAGAGCGCTGGAAAATACTAAGAAAGGATAAAAATTCGAGTGTCGTCTAATATTGTGAAATAACATAAACTTATGTGTCTTCAAAAATAAAAACTAAAAAATTGTATTTTTTCAAGGGAAAATTAATGTCTTATCCTTAATGAACCCACCTAGGGGGTTTGGACGCACCGAATTTGTCCAAACCGGCACAAGAATAAATTTCACTATGAAACACAACAGATATTAAAAAACCGTTAAAGCGTTGGTCGATTAATAATTATTTGAAACACTTAAATTGTTTTCCATACAGAATTTTATTCCAGACAGCAAAGTGTAAAATTAGTATTAATATAATTTGTATCATAATATGAGTTATTATTAAGTATAAAAAATTTAAAGCACATATTTACTAAATTCTAAAATTGTTTGTGTTGTATTATTTAAGGAATATTCTTTCATAAAAAAAAAAACCAGTCAATATCATTTTTACATACGTTAGATACAATATTATATATTTTTAAGTAAACGCTAATAAAATATTTAAAAAACCCGTATTTTTACCATTACAACTCTTAAAAATACGGTATATTTATATTTAAATATTACACATTAACTGTAAGTATAATAATAGATGTACAATCTATAATGGTTTTCTATTTACACATAATTATTTTTGTCACAATATTAAGTAGGTATTATTGTTAATTCGATTAGATTAGGCAGTTTACTTTTAGTTTTGATTTTATTACCCATATATTACTATATATTACATAAGTAATAAATACATAATATAATGATAATACATTTTTTTTTTATTTCTGGTACTTAGCTTACACAATACTTTTTAGTTTTTATTTGCCTATTATCTATTCGGCGTAAGCATAATGTTTTAGTTAGTTAATTAATTAATGAAACGATAAAGTTTATCGTTTCATAATTATTAAACCTATTATGTAAATAGTTTATCGAATAAACTATTTAAATGTTGAAAAGTTTTTTTTAAATATTTTAAAAATACGACTGTTAATAATAACTTAGTACTTAGAAGAGGAATTTATATAGTCCTTAACTCTTCTCCAACTACGCCACTGTTAACCCTCAACTTGGCACTGTATCTCTAAAGATATATATATTTTATATATAACTTTCCTCGAACAACCCAAAATGTACTTCTATTTTAATTATTTAAAAATTATCCCTAATACAATAATTTTGACTCATATATTTTTATACCTATGTTACCTATGTACTTATTTAACTATCAAAAACTACAATTCATTCAACACATTATATTTTTAACACTATTTTATACTCCAAACATCATGATTTACACGTGTACAGTGTACTCAAATGAATTTTAAAATCGAAAAGCTTTTAAACTGGTTAGAAGTCATATTTCATTTGCTTCTAGTTGTTTGTAGTAAAAATAAAACACAATAATCATTTATATTTTATATTTTATGTATCAGTGTAGTTTTACGAAATATACACGAATCGACCAACTTGTGATTACTGTGTTTTGTACTTCGGATTTTTTTTCCGTATTTAAGAAACACCAAGAGCCGCAGACAATAATTATGTGAGCATATGACCCGGTCAAACGGTTAAACGTATGTTTTTTTGGTGAAATGCTTGTAAAGGTTTCGGAAAACGTGTCTGGATTTGACACTATCACTTTAAAATGTTTGGACCTTGTCCAGATAGGCGATTTATCGTTTATTTTATTATCGTTTATTTTTTTGTCGGCCGAAAAACAAGGCACTTTGCCAGTCCTAACCTAACCTCGTGTGTCGCCCCGGAAGTTCAAAAACGACAACGGTCTGTGGGTACCGTTTTTCAAGTTTAGGCCGCCGTGTTAGTTCTGTAGGGATGGAAGCGAAAATTAATATCATATAATCCTCGGGTAATTGTAGTGTTTAGGATTTTGTCATGGGGGTGGTGGGTACGCATTGGCAAGCATTTCATTGACCTGAGGGGGTTTCGTCCCTCACCTCATCATCATCGTATCTCTCAATATTTAGAATGTCCAAAATTAGAAAACAGGTTGACATAAAAGTAATACATTATAATACATTGAGAAATAACGAAAAGCTACATGTTATGAATTTTTTTTCCATTTGATTTTACTTGAAAACTAATTAAAAAAGTTTAATCTTAAAAAATATTCTTAAGCTAAAATATGACTGAACAAATCCTACTTTTGATATTTATACTGGTTACTATCTGTTTTGTCAGTATTTCAAAAGGTTTTAACTTGATAAAAACAATTTGTAACTCGAATTAACAAAATAGTGATTTGGAAGTGCCTATATATTTCAGATTTGAGAATCCTTTTTTGAAATTGTAAACACGTTTGGTTATTTTTCAAGCTAGATTTTTTTTAATAAAAAAATAAAATTCTCCATGATTGAACAAATGCGAATGCAAATTCTGGAGGATCTATACTTAGAGTTGAATTAGGGATCTGACATTTTTGGGATTCCTTATTCGAACGAGTTACTAATACTATCAATTGGGAAGGAAGGGGATAATAATAAAAAAAATGTTTTCTTGACACATTCAAATATATTGTAAGCATAATGTTAATGAACGAATGAAACCGTACTGTCGGGGAGACTACTTTCTTGTGGACGTCGTCCAGGCTTTATTGGTAGGTCGAAACCACGTGTAGCTCATAAACTCTGCTGTGAAATTACAAATACAATACTTAAGCCAGTAGTGTACGGGGTGGAAATCTGTGTAATATACAAGGCCTATATACCTACCTATTGTAAGAGTGTAAATAGCATCTGTTGTTTTTACGGCTACCACAACTGTCCATGACGTTTTTATGAAATACACACATTAAATTGGCAACAGCTTTGCAGGGAATAACTTCTGTAGATACGCTTTGTAAGTATTATTGTGATAGGTGCAAAACGTTTACCTATATTTTACATTATACAATTTTGAAACTGACGTTGCTATCTCTATACTCGTTTGTCGAATGGCGCTACTCGAGTAGATGTATTTTGTTTCCAGGTCAACAAGTATGAAAAAACCATCCCTTATATTATATTATTCTACATATAGCGCACCGCACAATAGAACACGGCATTCTATATATTGCTGCTTTAATTGTTTTCGCCATAAGTAATTATTATTATTAGAGGAAATTAATTATTGCGATTGGAAATAATATATTAATCGAACGAACGATTCATTAATGGGAAAAAGGCCTCTGGGCGAATATTCTGTTAAGTAAAATCATTACGGTCATTATTGTTGGACACAGATTAATGACGACCATAAAAACTTCAGTGAGGTAAACTTGAAATAATGATGACTTATCAATAGTTGATTTAAAATGGAATCTTATAGGGTTTGAGCAGGTCCGATAATTTTCTGAATTTATAACATTATATTGTATACAATATTATCCGCAAAGAATTGGTCATTAAATACCCAATCTAGACTGGGATTAAGGAATAAAGCAACCTTTAAATGGGCCGGGCATATACCATAACTACCATTCTAGTCTATATTGTTTTTTTTCTAGCGAGCACATAATAGGCGTATTATAATAATATTATATTTATAGTAAACTGCGTATCAAATGTTATTTTTATGGCAACCGTACAAAAATGAATGGGTTAAAATAGGAATTTTAGACGATTATTATATTACAATGATAGAGCAGTAGTCGTTTTGTTTGAACACTTTTTAGCTTTGATGTGAACGTTCGATCATACTGTTTTTTACAATGATGAGGTACACCATTAAACTGAATTATTTGCACAAGCTTATCGTAGCAACAACAGCTGAAAACAAAATTTAGTTTTTAGTTAATTTGTTACATATAAATATTTATTTAAATATATTATTCTATGAGCTGAAGTGGTTTTTAAATTATAAAAGAGAAAAAACTCGAGGTTTCAATATTCAATACTTTTTAATTGTGTTTCTACACAAAGATAAAAAAAGGTTATTTGTTTGGAAGCTTATGAACTAGATACGACACGGTTTTTTTCTACCGTTTACTGTTTAAGTGGAAGAGTTGTCGTAAAACGCTCCCTAACAAAGACAATGTTCTTATAAAAGTTAGATTATGTCGTACACTTGTATAGTCGTCCGAGTAACGTTCAAATTAAATAAGTTCTTTAAAGAAAAAGATTTTAATACCCAATTAAAAGTTTGTATCGACAGCATCATTAATGAGATAAGACTTTGTCGTACATTTTAATAATTATGAATCCACCGCTAAGAAAGCTTTTCCTAGTCGATACTTGTAACGGTGGTGGCCGATGACAAGTTATAACAAAAATAACTTATTCCTGAATATTAATCCATACTGTACGTCTGTGATGTTAATACAGTAGACATGCCGGCAAACGAAATGGCCAAGAGATCTTATCAGAGTTACTCGCCTTACAACGGTACGACACAATACTATTTTGATGAAATCGACGACTTGGACGACATCACGGATTCCGACGAAGATGACTCGAAAAACGAAGACGACGACCTCATGTACAAGAACCCGAGAAAATTGCCTTCGTCCGAATGTCCCAGAAACGAGCAACAAGCATCGTTTATGGTAATTATTATGCTAGCGCAATTATTGCACTATACTTATACTGAATTGTTATCATTACATTGAGTAATGATAATTAAAAAAAAAAATTGTATATAATGTAAAATTCTTATAAAATATTGAGCCGTGTTAATGGTAATGTGAAATAAAGTATAAACCGTAATTGATTGCTATGAATACCAAAGAAAATAGAGAGATTAGGATAATTTGTTTTTCATAATATATAATCAAGATCGTTGTGTTTCAACCGTTTTCATTAATTTGTAAAGGGCCAAGAATGCCTCAGAAAATGTGCATCGGATGAAGACTGTAAAAGCAAGAAGAAACATTGTCTTTGCGACGGAATTTGTGGAATGTCTTGTGTGAAACCAGGTAAGACTAATAATAATATTTTACACTAATTTTATTTATATTGAACTATAAATGCGAAGTTTACAACTCTTTTTTGTTAAAAACTATACTAGAATAATATCTTTTAAAAATATTTAGTAAATATGTGTAGTTGAGTTAGTTTTGTTTGAGGTAGATTATATAAATCTAATAGGCCCGATTTATATAGGCATCGTCGACACAAAATGGTATATCGTTATGACGCACAATTTATGTTTAAATTAAGTACCGATTAATAAATGTCTAATTAAATTTCTTGTACGATAACAAAAGGAAGTCATGTCTAAAACGCATTTCTTGTCCCAGGTTCACCGTCATCTTACAAGGCCCAAACAAACAGTGAACAAACTATAGGTGCTATTTAAATTTAAATAAAAATTTACATTTTAATGTAAAAGTTAATTATAGTATAATAAATCAGCATAAAAAAAAAACGTCAAAAATTATTCTAATACGAATGCTCATGTTGCAATTATTTTTATCATACCCACTACATACCCTAAACGCATTGTTTGAGGTTTATAAAGGTTATATTACAATAATTTAAGGAGTTCAAAGGTAAAAAATATTAGTAATACAAAAACAAATGCATATAGTTTACACGATTAAATTACCACATATATTTAAATTATATTAAAAACAAAATGTTTTTTTTACATCTCTGGTTTTGGTTAGTAAACATTACCCAAAATTAATGTAAGTACATATATTATACTATGACTAATTAAATACAATAAACGCTTCCGTATAATACTATGGTGTATATAAATTTTAAACTTATAAAAGCAAAATAGTATTTTTATTTTTTATTTATATTCAAATTGTTTTATAATATTTTTAACTAAAAACAATAGCAAAACTATGATAGTAAATTGATTATCCATTAATAAAAAAAAATAACTGAGTAAATTAAGAAAAAAAACTTTTAACTAATTTATATTCTTTGTATAGTGTTCTGTTAGAAAATGTTAGCTAAAATTGGTACTATTTAAACACACTTTAATATATTTATATGACTTTTATTGTAAGTAAATTTTAAATCGTTTTTAAATTTTCTGATGAAGTTTATTTTTCATACTTGGAAAAATAATTTACTTATTTATTTGTGTTTTTAAACAATAGAGTAAAATAAGAATATAGAAATACTTCATTTGCCGAGTACATTTTCTCAGTATTTTAGTTTTATTTAATACAAGGTTTTTGTTTTTGACATGGAATTCAACCCGGTTATATAGTGCTATATCAAAGTGAATTATAATTGTACAAATGTACAAACCTACTTCGTATATTTGCCAAAGGGTATTAGATGAAATGGGATTTGTGGTTACAAAACCGAGTAGACTTAAAAACACAAGAAAAGGATGGCCTAAAAACTTTTTGTCATTGTTGTGAAACTCTGAAAAAGAAAAAAATACAATCGTATTTAAACTCACGCTCTAAAAGCTTTTTATGCGCATTTATGAATTTCATACTAGATTTATAAATACGGAAAAATAAAAGAATGGAAATTTAGCCCAGGGGAAATGTTTTTCCTAAGGATTTTATTATGCTGACCCAGTTGCATTGATAGTAAAACTGAGACTATAAATTACAACTAATTTGAACATGTTTTATTCAACTATTTATTTTTTTATCAAAAAACGTAGACCTTAGAATAAAATATATAAATTGTCAAAAGAGGGAATAAACATTGTAACACGATTACAGTAAAATAAATATGGAAAACATATCATTAAATAAAAACAAAAAATAAATGTAAAATATTTATTAATTATTAATAAGATACTAAACTGTAATTTTATCTAAAATAATTTTTTTAAATTAAGTAATATTTTATGAACAATTTCAATGGAATATTTTAACATTTTATGTACTTACTAGTACCTACAAATTCTTAATTTACTAATTGTATAAATCCATTATTATAATCGATTGGAGAGTTGTCTAAAACAAAAAAATGTAGGTATATTGTAAAAATATCGTACCTTAAAAAATATGTCAACTGTTGTAACGGTATAAATTATTTTATATTTTCGTCACGTTACACGTCTAATACCGGAGTTTTGACACATTAAGCCGATCACATATATTTTTGGAGTGGCATGTGTTTGTGGGGTGGTATTATAAAAATATAATTTTTTCACTACACTTTCGTGGCTCATGATTCCTAGAAGATAAAGGTAGGTACAATCTTGAGATGAAAATAATTAAGCAACAGCGTCTGAATTAAGTATCTATTACCTATTTAAAAACTAATACATACATACATTTTTAATATGTGATCTGATATAAAAAAAAAAAAATAACATTATTAATAATTTTTTTTCTCTAACGTTGAATGCTGATATTCAACCACATTAGATTCGATTATAGTTGGATTTTGCAATAAAAAAATTGGCAGAAAAGTAGCTTAACTCTTGTGCTAATAACCGTTGAGAGTAAAGTGGAGTTTACTACAAAGAAGTTATAAAAAAAAAATTCTTAGCTATTGGTACATTTCGTTTGATTTTATGTTGCTTACTATCATTACATCTTCTCTTTTAACGCGCTAGCATGTTGATAATTTAAAACATTCTAGGCCCTATACGTTACAATGAATCAAATGAAAGGTCACATTTTCATTTTATTGCTCTTGAATTATTCGCAAACGTTTCAGGTAAAAGTACTAGTTAGGTACATAAATAATACATTACATTAGTACTAAGTAACCAGCAAGGACGAACGTTTTATGGTGGAGTTTAAAAATAAAATATAGGTGTCTGCATATAAGGTTTATAAAATCGCACGTGATTGATTACAAAAGCCGCCCCGTGCACGATCTGCTACGCTCGTGTTGTGTTACATTCGTTCAAAGACATCTGTATGACATTTTTCCAAAATCTTCGGCGACGTTCGTTGGAAAAAAACACAACAATTAATTATAATAATAACAAAAAAAAAAGATATTTCACACCGCTAACCGGACATTTTTGCTTTTGCAAAATAATGGTTGTTTAACTTACACAATATTATACTCTATGTTAGAGACGGTTGATGAACGACGGGTTTTCGCATTTGTCATTTGTATATAGTTCACATTTCCTTGAATAGTCTTGGTATTCGCGCTGCGACAGTGGCCAAATTGAAAACCCCTCAGGCACATTATGCTGTTTTGGAACTTTGAAGTATTGCCGGCGTCCGTGATAAAATGGAAATGGTAGCTCGAAATTATCATTCTCAGCGACGAAACACCATTTGAAACGCCAACTTTTTTAAAAAAACAAACGCTTCGGGCTACACAGCCAGCATAGAAATGTGTACATTATTCAAAGAGCTGAGTAATTAAAACACTAGCAATGGACGGATATAAAAAAAATAAAAACGTACATATTTGAAAAGTCCTTACTATCTCAGTAGTATCTTGGCTTGGCCTAATTATTATCAAAACAAGAAAACTCGAGGCTCTATAATATTAAGAAAAAATAAAACATTAAGACGGATAGTTTAAACAACTGCATAATAAATACCTACTTGGTGAACAAAAACATTTTTTTTTTGTTAAGAGTATCTTTAAGAGTATCCTCTCTAGAATTTTTCAGGACAAACTTAAGGAATTAATGAGAAAATATATTTTTAATTGCAATTTTTCTTTTGATAAAAAAATTGATAAATTTGATTGGAATTTTAATGTTTTGACATTAAGACATTGAATTTATCGTTCTCCGGCACAATGGTTTTGAATACTGTTATCTTACTTTTTTTCGGGACGTTGATTAAACGAAATAATTTGCTACACAAGTAGCCGATTTTTTTTTTAAATAATTATCTTCGTCTACGCCAAAGTAAGACCGTAAAGAATGCTTTAGGTCGGTCGCTATATGTTTTGGAATTTACCCGAACAAGTCAAGTAACGACTTTCTGTATAGTGTGTTTATTTTATCAGACAAACGTCTAAATTGCGTTCAAACATCAAACGACCTCGTTTTTAATTGTCGCGAGGCTGAATGAAACATTTCCGACAAATTAATGTTACTTCTGAAGTTTCTCAGAAGACATTCTAATTATATTCCCGAGAGTTATCACACGGCAAATGTGTTATTTGCATAGTTCTTGATGTACTTGTAGGTAGTAAGGTACCTAATGCATGTTTATTATCACACATAATATATTAAAATGTTTGATACTCAACCACGGAGTAAGACACTTAAAGTAGATAATGACTTACAGATGTAGGCCGCCATCTTCTTATTTATCCTAAACTATATGTATCAATATAATATTATAATGATTGATAAACGATAATATGGTCACCACGTTTTTAGTGATAAGTATGTACTGTACTGTAATATGTACTGTGTTAAATTTTGAGAATGTCCACCCTGACTCAACGCACCGATATTCATCTAAACACATAATTTCATTTCAAGAGCAAAACATATTATTTTTATCTTTTGTAAAACTATAGTTGTAGGAATGATAACGATTCCTTGAGCTATGATATTTTGTTCCTAAAACATTTCAGTCAGTGAATTGTATTCTTATTATTAGTAAACCGACGAATATTGCCATGGTTATAATTAGTATGTAGTAGGAAATCAACCATTTTTTTTCCAATTTGATTTTCAATGTTGTATGCTTTGTTAAAATGTGCTAAGGTCTAAGGTCTATGGAAATGATACGTTTAACGTAAATATATTAATTAATTATAAGTATGTAACTATGTAATTGATATTTACTACCAGATACGTGTATCATTATCCCAAAATACAATAAAATGTATTTATGTAAATGTATAATATAATTAATGTGGATTAGACAATGATTTGCATAAAGATGTTATTGAGATGAAATTATCGAAGCTGGAAGCATACTATAATATTATGAATAAAGAAAAAAATAAGGTTCAAATAATATACCATAAGATTTTGTAAACATTTTTACACAGTAATACTAATGTATTTTTTCTTAAGTACGCGATTGAAAAAAATATATTATATACATTT